ATAATCGTGCTACCCAGTATACACTTGGTACCATAAGGTTAGTTTAAGCACTGGAACACAAAACGCGGAAGGATTCATTAGAAGCGGCGCACGGTCTTGTGCAGTTTGGATTCGGAATGAAGCAACCTAAGGAAGCTGGACAGAGACGTCTGCCCCACTCGTATGGGCATCTAGGAGCATTCGAGCCTTGTCCGACCTGATTGTAACTGCGCACTCGAAGGGAACAGGGTGGCTTCGAGAACGCCGTGAGCAACGCCACAAAGTACCGGGAAGGTGGTTCTCACCTAATAATAGTTCCCGTACCGCGCATCGACGGCTCGACTACCCTGCCATCCTTCGTCGCCTTCGAGATATTGTACACCGCGAGCACCATAGAACACGCGGCGAAAATCGAGGTCTCGGCAAAGATATTCCCTGGACACTTCCTACGGCGCCGATTAGAATACGCCCTATCCAGTAGAGAGGAAGGCCTACCGTCTGCCGAACCCGAAACAAAAGTCGCGCGGATCCCTCTCAGCGTCAACGCCGCCTTCTGTGACGATAAAGCGTTCCGGTTTGAACGCCATCGGGTCTGCGTAGGTTTGAGGATCGTGCAAAAATTTCCTACCATCAAGTTCAACAAACGGAATTGTCAGTCACCGGGCGGTTTTGCTCACCATATGTTTGCGATGACCAAGGTTCCCTTGGGCAGAAAATACCCCTCGTGCCAGTCATCTTCAGTGAGTTGATGAGGGAAACCTGGAAGAGCATGTTTTAGCGGCTACGAAACGTGCGTAGCAGTGCTCGGAACGCCTCGCACATACCCACAGGACCCACAGGAATCCATCGTAGGACCTCGAGAACCAGTGCTTTCAAGTACGGTAGTCGTTCCGCGTCTTCCAGTACGGGCAGACGATCTTGGCCGACCACCGCGTCAATCTCAGCCTGCGCCCTGCGCTGCACCTCGGGAAAGCACGACATAGCAAGAAAGAAGGTACTGATTGCGGACACAGTCTGCTGACTGGTGTCAGCGGAAAAGGGCACCAACATAGAGATATGCGGGGGGAACTTACGGTGTCGGCGCTGCCTGCACGGATCTCGCTCAGTGTGTATAGAGGGAACCATAATACACGGATGGCGTACCGGCGTACAGGGAAGCTGCAGCCATCTTGATCAATTCCTCCTTGGAAGGGTCACAGTTGCTTTCGAGCAGCGTAGACGCAAAGCTTGGGGGCGCACTTCCTGTTTTCTAATTTCAGTGTGCACAGTGTTAGTAGCGGTAGGCGTTCGGGTGCGGGTCCGCGTGTACCATTTGTCCCTTTACCCATTCGAATGGTGTTCTTGTCATACGGTCGAATACCTTGCTTTGTTCAATGACTTCTTGTTTCCACTGAGCCCCAGGGATCCACGAGGGTACATAGCACACTAGGGACCTTGTTAGATGGTGCGTAACGGATCTTAACAGTAATACGCCTCACAAATGGGAAATACATCAGCAAGGAAGGTCCCCGGAGCCGTTGCCTTCGCAAAATATGCCAGAGACTCGTCGACGTCCTTGACAATTGGATCATCATCCCCTTGGGCTGAGTACCCATACGAGATCTTGACAATGATTGCGGCGGCCAACCTGCCGTATGCGGTAAATTCGACTCTTTCGAACAGCATGGCCACGGCAGCGAGGACATACCTCTGGAGCTTATTCACCAGCGACAACGAACCTCCGTAGTTCCGTAATGCAAAAAGGAACCGGCGGGTCTCATCCTCAATGAGGGTGTGGAAGCGTCCAACGCTCTTGCGGCTGCCAAAAACCCGCGCATGCATCTTGCGCATCTCACGTAGGCGGTCACCATAAGGAGCAAGTACCATGGCGCGCGACCACCCAAGCATCTCCCCGCCCACCGGAACCGACGCACGACTTGAGTATATCGAGCTCTTCTTGTCGAGCATTTCGGAGGCGTGTTTCGACGAGTTTAGGATAACCACGGGTTTGCCAAGGAGAGTGACGGACATGATGTCCCCTGAGATGGGTAGCTGTCAGTTCCTGAGGATGCTTTGTGTAGTGAGCGACGAGCTTGCCCCAATGTTCGCCCCAGGCGGCGAAGGTGGTCCACTGATACGTCGTCGGCATGGTAAAAATATTTCCGACGATAGGCCACCCTTTGGGCCCAGGTGGTAGCGGACCCGGTCGTCGACGGCATACAACGCGATATACGACGGCAGCTGCCAGAAAGCCACAAAGAAAGGTTGCATACGTTGACATGATGTAGCTGGTTGAGAGGGGGGAAGTGGAACCTCCAGGTGGCAGAATTTATAACGGGGGAGGCTGCACGATTGTCTCCACTGTCAAACCTTATACCATCCTAGGGCTACCCTCCATTGGAAGCAACATGGAGGGTCGGACGGTGCAGGTGACCTGCAGCTGGGTTACAGTGTTTACGTTCCTCGGCGTACCTGGTGCCACATAAATAGGGCCCGATGACGGATGCTCCGGCACCGGGTGGTAAACCTGCTGAAGGGGGGAGGAGAGAAGTCGCTCATAATTGGCCGACGGCATTCTATCGAGCCTTAGTGGCGAGACAGACAGAAATGGGTATATGTGTACCACGCACGGGCGTCGAGCATTGTCTGACCGCAGGTTGTTTGCGTTAGCTTGAACGTTTGCCTGGCACCTTCTATCGCAAGGTGTACCTCGATGGCCGCCGTGTCGGGCCAAGAGAGGAGACGCTGGATGAGAGGGTTTTCGGGCCATGGTCCTCGTTTTGCGGGGTGTATTAGTAGGTGTATTAGTATGAGTAGATGTGTACCGCAGCGAGATTCTCCGTTCAACGGCGCGGCGCGGAGTAGAATAGTCTCGCCCTTTACAGTGCCCCGGACGATGTACTAGAGTTCCAAGTTGCGTAGAACAAAGACGGGTAGACGGGCGCGGAACGATGCCATGCATATGGGTCAACGTAAACGTTCAACGCCGTACATTGATTTGGAGAAGCGGCTCGCGATCGGTGGTGCTCATGGTGGCGATGGCCACGTGGCCGCCACCAGCGCACGCGGGGGCGTGAGGAGCGTTGAGCGCTAAGGGGCAAGGCGCGCTTGTCTCCTTCCCCCATCCAGCGTCAGTTCAGCGTCTCGCCTCAGCGTAAAGTCCCGTAACCGCGCCTGCTCAAGCCTTTTCTCGCGTCATCATGGAGGCCCAGAAGCCTGCCGCTAAGTACGCTCTGTCTTCATCCTACGCTTCCCACACTCTTAGCCAGGACCCGGACGCCAGGAAGCGCAAGATCACAGACAAGAACCTCCCCAATGCTCTCCTCCAATCTCCAGAGTTCGCAGAGGACTCGGCTATGTACCGTGACCTGCTTCAGATGGAACGCAAGCTCGACTGGACAATGACCCGCAAACGCGTCGAAGTGCATGACGCGCTGCAACGAATCATTCCTGTGAGTGTGCTTAGGTTTCGCACAGCCAATGACTGGACGCGCGAGGGTAGGCGTCGCGCACACTGCGGATATTCCTCAGTCACACTGTGTCTGGCCAAGCCTGGCAGCGCGATGGTGCCGACGCAGACGCGGCGAAACCCAACTTAGAGACGGGGGAGAACATTCCTGCGTGGCAGTTACGGATTGACGGGCGACTACTAGAGGTGCGTTTTACGTTCTCACGTCTGCGATGTAACATCGTTCATAGTCAACATTTTGGTGAAGATACCAAACCAGAGGGCCAAAGACCGTGTACCTCCTCGGAAATTCACCACCTTGATTAAGCACATGATCGTAGAACTCGACCGTGACACCACCCTGTATCCCGACGGGAACGTTGTTGAGGTGGGTTGGTACCGTCCGGTAGCATCTCCGCCGTTTTCACGTCGCGTCTAGTGGATACGCTCTCCAAACCAACCACATCTAGACGGTTTCACCATCCGTCGAAAAGGCGATACACCTACAAAAGTCCGGATTGTCATGCACCTCGAGCAACAACCAGAACAGTACAAAGTTCATCCTGAGCTTGGTACGTTAACCATTCCCACATCTCAGACTACCAGCCAAAGCAGCTATGCACCCTCATGGAACGATATACTTACCTGACCCGGCTTAGGAAACGTCCTCGGAATCAAGGAAGACTCTCGGACAGGTATTATACAAGCGTTGTGGAACTACATCAAGACACAGAACCTTCAGGACAAAGTTGACCGCCGTATCGTCCGGGCCGACGCCCGACTCCGCTCCGTACGTCTGTCAAATGCAAACCCGCTGTGGCACATAAAATTCACAACACACCTTGACAGATTTTCAACGCCGACACGGCATACTTCCAGCATCTCCCGGAACTCGTGAACCGCTTCCTCTTACCCCCTGACCCCATCATGCTGCATTACACTCTCAATCCCTCTGTACCACCACCCGAGAAGCCAAATGCGTGGGACATCGAGGTTAAGGTGGACGATTCGAACCTCAAGAGTCGCATGCAGCACGTTGTAGTCAGCATGGCACAAGACTCTGCGCGCGACCTCACTAAGCTCGACGAGGAGGTCAGTGCCTAGTCCTTTCCCCTTCCCCTTGCGCTACCTTCGGCACGGCTAATTTCCAATCCGCGTACAGATCGCGTTGCACATCCAGTCGCTCAACAACGCGCACATGAAGCGCACCTTCTTGCGTGCGTTTGCGGACGACCCGCGCGGCTTCGTGCAGACGTGGCTCGCATCGCAGTCACGCGACCTTGAGAGCGTGCTTGCAAGCGGACCTAGCGAGGGAGCGACCGTCCGGCAGGAGGACCTCAAACGGACCGAGTTCTTCCGTCTCCCATGGGTTGAGGAGGCGGTTGCGATCCAGGAGGGCATGCGTCTTGCTGCTAAGGCAGGCATGTGAGCGGATGGTGTTTTGCGATTGAGATATGAGCACCGAGAGGGACGCGTCGCTGAGTCGAGGTTTTGTATTTTATTGTGCTGTTGTATTGCTATCGTCGTTCGCAGTCTTGATGCAAACACAGATCATTAAAACAGACACAAGGCTGACAAAGCCATTCAACGCAACGCCGGGATAGCTCAGCTGGGAGAGCAACAGACTGAAGCGGCTTACGTCAGATTTCTGGAGGTCGCGTGTTCAATCCACGCTCCTGGCATTGTTTTTGCCTGCCATTTCGCCTCCAGTAGCGCCGAGGTTCGACGATCCTCCCACAGAAGCCGCCGCGAAGTTCCCATCCGTGTGGTCCGCTTACCCCCCATGTCGAGATTCGAGGATGTCGGACCACCAACGTTATATGGCAGCTGTATCATAGCCGATGTCACCGAGCGGTGTCCGCGCTGTCTTTGCGAATCCTCCGTTGCCGAGGACCGTGACAGATTTAACGTCGGTGAGGACTCCACACCCACAAACTTCGAGGGCAACACGGATCGTCTGCTAATCCTTCTTTTGTTGTTTCTCCCACAGCTCGGGGGTCTTCTCGATAGTTTGATGTTCCAGGAATTGTGCTATCCTACAAAGTTGAACTCAAACACCGGAAGCCCTGCCGATGCTCAATACTGAATGCGGTGGAAAGCGCCAAAGTCCAAGAAGCGTAGCACCGTACACACTCCGTACGACACAGCCGACAGGATATAGCGCGGCAAGCAAATTCCCAAAGGATCTTACGCTGCGCACGTCTGTCCCCACCGTGACGCCGCCGGCGTGCACTTCGATGACGGGACAGGGGGCGAAGCGCTCTTTTTCCGAGCTGCCACTGGTAGGAGCCCGTCGCAGGGTCTTCTGGCAGACCGTCGGAGTATTTCAGTACTCCCCATCGGTCTCGAAGCCGCAAGGTAAGTTTGTTCTGCCCCCCCGGCGCCCGGGAAGTAACGCGGTTATCCCCGCGCAACGACGTACTTAACTCAGGGCGGGCCAGCCGCCGTGCTCGGCAGCTCCTGACGTCCCGACGATTCTGACCCACCTGGCGTGCGTCGCGAGTCCCTCCAATACACGGCCATATGGACCAACAGGTGTCCGAGCTCGCGCGTACCAGGCTGGCCACCACCCTGGGCCCGACCTTTCTCGGGTTCGCGGGGACCTGCATGTACGTCGTCGTGCCTTTGACGGGTTCAGTACCGCCGTACTTACCCGAGATAGGTTGTACGGTATAACAAGCCTTCAAACATGGATGTACTTCAACTATGATTTCAAGGATGAACACCCTCTGCGTGGATCGGTGAGTTTCTAGCCTAAGTCTGTTCTGACTCTCTTCAGTAGCTCAATACCCGTGTGCATACCCAGGTTCTTCTCCTATGGTAATGTTTTTCTCTAACACTCAATAAGAGGCCGCTCATCCGATGGCTTATCTTGCTAGGTTCCTTGACACCCTTCATATGTCCTTTCTCACCGCATCTATGTACCAATACGTCGTGGTTGACTTTGGTAACATACCCGCTATGCTGGCCCCGAATTGGTGCGCCCAATATCGTACAGCTCGGCGGTGACCCTCTGATTAGGCAGCTATTTGCAGGACTCTTGCTGTAAGTGCATCGCATACATCCCACGCGTGATGTCTCTCAACTCGCCTGTACAGGCCATGATCATCGTGGTGGTATGTACAACCACGGTGCACCTACTCACAATATACTAACCGCTGGGCATAGCTCGTCACCAATTTAATCGTCCGAGCGTACGTTACCTACAACGTCGATCTTTCACCACGCTGACGGCTGCAATAGTATATTTGGCATGCGGATCTGGAGGCGTACGTACACCATGACGGGCATGATATGGCAAGCAGACCTCGACGACTGATTGGTGATTTAGTCAGCGGTGGGCATTGGCTCATGCCCGTCTTCGTTGTGGTGGGTATTATCCCACGAGTCACTCGTTGTGAAGTGTATTTACGCCGCTCACAGAATGTCCTTTCCCTATTCGTCCTTGGTGAGCTTTTTGCACATCAATCATACCTGGATCTGAGGCTCTTTGCTCACCCACCCATCACGTATCAGCGGATGGCACCTGTGAGTCTCCGCAACTTCATAGTGACGTAGACGCCTGAAACATGATTATGTGGTAGATTTTGCGGTGAAAGGGTCGGCATCACACGGTTTCCTCTCCTTTACGTTGGCTTACCTTACACACGCCATAGCCTCTCCGTCCGTGTCCTGGTGGAGGTCCACCACTTCTCCGTGAGCATCCCCTCGCCGCTATCCTTCTAGTTTCTTAACGGCCCCCGCAGTGGAGTTTCTATGCTGGATTAGGAGCAGAAGTGGTCGCCGATGCTATCGTTGCGGCCTCTCAATGCTTGCTCCTCGTGCGCATGCGTACCGGGCTTCATAGGTGCGCTGTGGCCTTCGCCGTTGAATTAGACAGTGTGTTGCCAAAAGTGCTCACTGCGGTTGCTATTCGGTGACAGAACCGACTCCCTCATAGCGCTGATGATGCGGTACAGCATCAACACGGGGCTCCTCACTAGGTGCGCCGTCGCAACGATCGCTCCCCCTCCATGGTCCGTTCCGGACAGCATTGACGTATCGTTGACAGCATATGCGCTGCGCTCATTCTTGTGACGGTGGGCCCGAGTCTCTCCATGATGTCAACACACCCCTTCCTGATTGAGGAGTTTTGCAGTTCACGGCGCAGCCAGAGACGTTCATCTACTTCGCGTTCTACTTCATCTACAGCAAGCGTGTGTATACCCATCGGTCGCGTCTCCATCATAGCACGATACTCACGGATTCTTCCGCAAGTATACGTCAACTCCTTGCTCGCGACTCTGAATGCTAGGAGGACGAGGGTTCTGCACCGCGAGACCGCGCGGGGAGGCCCGCACGTCATTGTCGACTCGGACTTGCAGTCAGTGCCTTCGCAATCAATCACCGACATGGAGTTCAAGTCTCGCGACATGAGAAACGCTTGCCAGTCAGCTCAGGTAACATCTTTCAGCGCGCTGAAGTACCGCGTCCGCTACGCTAACGGCGTTGTGTCCAGCTCACCACCGTCATCGACCTTGGCCCGCCATTGACTGGCTCGAACGCGCACAACATGGTCTAACTATTGTACTCGGGAATCCGGGCGAAGCTAGGGGGAAATCATACTATGCTGGATGGGCAGAGGTACCTCATTATTGGTCTTCGGACAACTTTTGCTACTTGGATCGAAAAAAACACACACATCGCTATATTCTTGGATGTACTAGTGCTTGGCGCCGATGAATATACAACCTTCACCATGCCCGACATTCGAGGCTAAGTGCCGTCGTCGGTTCTTACTATTCTAATATGCGGACCAAAGGAGCAGTTCATGACAGCGTCGTCGCCCGTAAAGGACTCGACCTTTCGGGCCCTCGTCAGCGACTCGACGGGAGTCTGACCTCTGCTGTGTAAGTTGGAAATGTAAAACGGACTCGAACACACCAGACGCGAAGTACTCAGCGTGGCGAGCCATCACACTGACAGTGTTGTCAATGAAGTTGGCAGCGATACAAGTATATAGAAGAGCCGGAAGGCGCCCGGGAAGCTTCTTCAATCTATGGTACCAGCGGCGTGCACAACGCGCCCAAGCAGGTCCAAACCTGCTGCTAGTACCTATAATTTCCGATTAATGCTCGATGTTCACAGCACAGGGATCTCACGTCGTCAGAGCGTTCACGTCCACCCAAGCAAACCGCGGCTTCAAAAACAATCACACGAGCTCGTACAGTATTGCCGCAATGAAACCGAATTTCATTGTTTGCCAGTAAGCTATCGCATTTTATTACAAACTGACCAGCTGCGAGGGGCTGGCTGCAGCGCTGGGTAAGGAACGACTGTCCGTAGAGGGAGTGGGTGAGATCTATCCAGAGTATGTACCGGCACGGGACCGTGCCCATGAGATGATGTTGATGTGATGCGCCGGATTGGATCCAAGAAATGCCAAGTAGATGATAGCGAGAAGGCGCAGATTGTTGGGAGAGAGGGAGAGAGGGAGAAGGGACGCGTGCGGGAGCACGTTTAGTCGTGCCTCTCCTCGGTGAGGGAGTGCAACAACGCCTCCGCCTTCGCAGAACGGGGCTTGATGGAGCACTTGTACGGTGGGGGGTGGCTACGCAAGATAGCCTGGTAAATTCCTCTAGGCGGGACAAAATCAATCTAAGCACATACCTGACGGTGCCCGAAGTCCATTCCGTCGAAGGCTCGATAACCTTGCCATTCTCGACAGCCTTCTCGATCTTGAAGACCGCAAGCGACATGGCGACACCCAAGAACACGGAAATATCCGCCAGCTGGAGGCCAGGGCAAATACTTCACAAGGAATGAATGTCAGACGGTGTGCGAACAGCGCCAAGTGGGGAGGTTGACTCACCGACGACCGAATCCGAAAGCCACATTGCGGGGGTCAGTCTCAGGCGTCTTGCCGGGGCCGGGCATGAAACGTTCGGGGTTGAACGTGAATGGGTCGGCGTACGTCTCAGGATCGTGCAGCATTTGCCTAGTACGAGCACAAGTTAGTGAACTCTCGCTTCAGAGTGAGGGTACCACCACAGGCACGTACCAGATGTTCGCGATAACGATCGAGCCCTTGGGGATGTGGTAGCCAGCGTAGAAGTCATCCTCAGTAGAACGGTGGGGAATACCTATGACACGAAGGTTCGTTTTGGCGTTGGAGGGACACTAGAAAGAGAAAACATACCGAGGGGCGCAATGTTTTGCCAACGGAGCACCTCGAAGTAGACGGCCTGGACATACGGGAGATTCTCGCGGTCTTCATGCGTGGGCATGCGGTCAGAACCAATGACAGCTTCGATTTCCGCCTGAGCCTTTGCCTGGACCTCGGGGTGGAGGCTCATGATCAGGTAGAAAGCGTCGATAGCCGAGACAGTCTACGCAATCTCGTCAGTCAAATTCGGGGCGTTCATACAGTGCCTAAGCTTACCGTGTCAGCACCGCCAGAGTAGAAGGACGAGGCCACGTTCTTGATGAGCTCCTCGCGCTCGGGAGTGATGTCACCCTCGAGGTGCGTCGATGTGAAGTTGGGAACGTTCGTGCCCTCAGCCTATGATCCACTGGTCAATCACAATACCGTTATATCGACTCCCCGGGTTGACATACCATGCGCGCCTTGACCCAGTCATGCGGCTTGTCGCACATTTCGTTGAGAGTCTTGCGCCACACACCCGCTTCCTTCTTGAAGCCA